ATCCATAGCGTCGACTACAAATACAATATCTTGCAAATGCGATAGAAAATTCAAACATCTTGTAAAACTGATCCTATATCTATAATGGAATATAGTCTATAGAAGTCCATAAAAAAAATAGTTGGTTTTCACGAACAATATACATTTTTTTTTGAAACTAACAATATACAATATACATTTTTTTTTTAAACTAATTAACAATATACAATATACATTTTTTTTTGAAACTAACAATATACAATATACTTCTTTTTTTGAAACTAACAATATACAATAATTAAAAAAAAAAACTAACAATATACAATGTACATTTTATCAATAAAATCCACTTGAAATTAACCAAAAGAGCTTATATCATTTATACAATGGAGTAGTTTAGACTTTAGAGATCCATAAATTTTTATACAATTGGTAATGAGTAATATACCACGAATGTCAATTTTTTTAACATGTACGATTATAGTGGTAATATAGTGTCAGCGATGAAGATTATCACCATTACACGCAAGATTGAAGATTTGATTTGAGCGACGTCGAATATTCATTTTACTGGGATCGATTGTCAATAGTGGAGGCTGCTAAAACCATTTATATATTTGTTGTCCAAAAACAAAAAAAAACCATTTATATATTTATTCTCAGTCGATCTTCCAATAATACTAGAGGCATGTTATATCATCATCACATCACATATTGATTGCATCGAGATAACTCTTTTGTGTGGATTGTACTATATCTCATTAATTGGCTTTGTTGAATTTTTCTAGTTTTCGTTTTCACACAACCGAAGCGAATTGAATGCTTTTATATTTTTCATCTTAGCAACTGTAAGACTACGATCGAATTAAGTGCTGAAGGCAATTTGGTGATGTAAAAAAACAAACTCAATTCCCTAAATTAAGGATTGTGCTTTAAACATGGTAACATAATTCGCGGTTAATCAAACTCGAACACAACTTGATGCTACGTTTTGAATGGGAATGATCTCTTGCTCAAAGTGGTATATACATATTGGCTAAAAGCGCAATATTTACTCTTGAATGGAAACAATAAAATTTATAAATAGTGGAGGAATTTAAGTTTCTGGAAATTTCGTTGGGGACAAATGGGTTTAAATGAAGAAGATGGACCCATTCTTGATTCTTTGGAAACATCTAAATCTTTCTAGCTACTTGCATGCATGCGAGGACTAATAAACGTTCTTTTTAACGTTTATCGTTACGGATTAGGCTTACCATTTCACTTTCGTCAATGTGTAATAAATAAGCTAGAACCAGTAGACTGACTCGTGGGGTATTGTCACACATTTAGTTTTCATCGATACCACAACAATTTAATTTCTTTTGGATAACAGATATGATTGAATTGCATTCTGTAGTCGGTACAAAGAAAAAGCTGGTTAAAAACATAAAATGATCAAAAACAAAAATTTACATAGTTCGAAAACAAGGGATCATCTCCTTCTCTCATGCATCTTTAGTCTGGAGGTTTGGAAATTGGTTCTATCAGGTATGAGCCCGCTTTCTACCATGTTTACTACTTGGTCGGAGCTACTTTCGTGGATTAGAGATACATCAACAAGAGCCCCATCCCTACTAAGGAACCTGGTGGCTCAAACAACAATCTTTAACCTGTGGAAGCAGCGCAACAACGTACTCTATAACCGAATTTCCATCCCGCCAATCAACGTCTTCAACGGTATATACAGGGGAGGTCAAGAATTCAATTTCTGCGCGAAGGCATAAAAGACCCTTTCACAACCTAATTGATATGATCCTATTACAGATCAACGCCCACGAACACTTCGAACGGGTTTGGAAATGCGGAATGATGAAATGAATGATCAAAGGATGGATCGAA